ACAAAGAAAAAAAAAGATGGGCATGGTGGTACGCACCTGTAATCCCAGCTCTTGAGAGACTGTGAACAGGCGGATCACTATGAGTCAGGACTAGTAGTGAGACCCTGAACACCCTGTAGACCCTTTCCTAAAATACTAAATAAATAAAATTAAAAATAAACATTAGTGTTGTACATGCTGTAGGCAAATAAGACACTGTGTAGATACAGGTACATGAAACTGCTTTTTGTTTATAAAGATGATCAGAATTGCAGCTGGAGTTTTATCAGGTATATTCATGTGGTCAGGGTTTGCAGGGAAATAGTTTAATACACAATGTATAATTTACAGGATTATTTTGTGGTAGTCACCCGAAGAGTCAAGTACAAAAGAGAGCAGAAAATTGTCCACACACTAGAGACCCAAAGAATCCAGCGGAGGGCCTGGATCCTACCTGAATCCAGCTGAAGACCTAGAGCCCATGACAGTAGCCCTCATGAGTCCAGCCCGAGGCTTAGAGCCTACAGCAATGTCTCGTGCAAGTCTGTTTCATGGATCTGGGCTGGGAAGGCCCAGAGGTCAATGATGGAAGCTAGGAAGTCTGTGCCAGTAAGATGAAGGATCTGTGTCAGCAGGCTGAGGGACCTGCACAGGAGCCACAAAGTAGTGCTCAAAGAAGAACCAGAGCTCTCCTGAAAAGTACCACAGCCATCCTTAGTGACAGTAAGATGCTGAGCTCCTCCAGTGATGAGAACAGCTAAGTTCATACCAGGAAAACCAGCATGACAGTCTTCTCCAGGAGACTGAACAGTGCACCATCTTCTCCAGAGTCAATAAGCAATGCTCGAAGTAAAGACCAGAGCTCCTTTGACAATGAGAGCAGTTCATAGCAGGAAAGCCTGCAGGCTCCTCCAGGAAAACCAACTTTCCTTTTCTTCCTCTCCAGTTCTCTTTTTTTGTTGTTGGCAACAATCCTCAGATGGGCCCCCTACACCCAGCAATGTGCTGATTCAGTTTAGTTGGGTATTATGAGTTACCAGCAGTTCTCTGTCCACAATTCATATGCTAAGTATTGTGCTAGACGTTTTACATGTACTATTTGTCCTGCTTACAAATCTTGGGAAATGGGAGCTCCTGAAGTTTAGAACTCTATATACGATCTTAAGAAGTGGCACAACCAGGCTTTGAGCTAATTTTATTTTATTTATTTATTTATTTTTTGCTCGTTGAATGCCTTCAGGGCACTTTTGGATGGCTGGAGTGTTGTGGGGATCGAACTACAGCAACCTGAGGCTGCCAGCATTGTGGAAGCAACCACTTAAAGAACGGAGCTAGTTCCAGGCCCCCTTGAGCTAATTTTAAATTGTTTTTCTGTATTATGATTCTTTGGGCATAGTTAGCATGGGGAGGAAGAAGCACAGCGATTATGTATTGTGTTATATTCCAAAACCTAATGTGAGTGCTGTAAGAAAAGTATAAAGAAACCAGAAAGTTTAGTAGAAGAAATTTCAGTTTAAGTTATGGGGGAGCTATCCCAAAGGAAGTGTTGTTTGAACTCAGCCTTGATTATATTCTGCCAATCAAGAATACATCTGAGAGGGCATATTTTAGGTAGAAGATGAGAATATGTAAATTGAGGGTCAATTTTAAAGGGTGGCAGGTGGTCTGATAGTTTTAAATGGGCTATGAGGTAACTTTAGCAAGAGGTAAGTTTAGAAAGAAAAAGCTCAGATCGCATATCTGAATCTAGAAGAATTTAGTACTATTTACTCAGTGAATAATCAACCTTGTCTTTAAAACATTTAGGAACTTTAGCTTCTTAATTCAGGGTTGTAGGAAAACAAAATCTTGAGTCGATGCCTTGATTAGCAAGTGTGATCTCCATTACTATTGCTTTTTGTTTTGTTTTGGGTTTGTTTTTGTTTTTGTTTTTGAAATAGTGTCTCACCAAGTTATTCCAGGCTGCCCAAAAGTCAGTATTGATACTTTAAACTTATGATGATCCTCCTGCCTCAGCCTTCCCATCCAGTGCTGGGATTACAAGTGTGTGCCACCACGCCTTTTCTTGAAAATACCATGAAAGGAAATTTCTGAATTTATCATAGCATACTGCCAAGCACAGTGTGGGCACTGAAATGTTTTTTGACAAAAGAAAAAAAAGGAACTTTGATGGCATTAGATAATGACAAGAAAAGTAAAGGAGTCTTAAAAGAATAAAGAGAGAGATGAGAGGAACCGAAGAAGCTGGCTTGTTTTAAATTTTAAGGATTTGTGTGTGTGTGTGTTTTGTGCAGGGTCTTACTGCACAGCTTGGACTCAAAGCGATCCTCCTGATTTCTGCCTCCCTAGTGCTGGGATTACAGGCATGCTCCACCGTGCCTGGACTCCATCATTGGCTCAGCGTGCTCGGGGGTGTGCCGTGCCAAGGATCAAACCTTGGCCTCTGCACTTACCCAAGCAAGAGCTTAGTCCACTGAGCTATACTGCCAGCCCTTTGTTTTAAATTTTACTTAGAACTCTGCTAAGAACTACATTACAAATGCTTGTTCAGGAGTGGAGTAGTATATTAACAATTTTTAGCTGCAGTCATGCATTCTCTCTTTTACTGTATGACACACCCTCTTTTGCAGCCTTCTGTTATGAGCATATTTCCAACCTTTCTATAAAAAGAAGATAACCTTGGATTTAGAGGCTTGTGATCCTATTAGATTAACAAAGAGATAACACTTTAGCCTCCCAGGGAAATTGTTACCATTTGTTTCAAAGGTGCTGAACCTATTTATACCTACCTTAAGGAAGTACTAGAAAATGGTAATAAGGACATAGGAATTTGTATTGATTGGACAGGAAATAGACTGTGTATGTAAAGAACTTTTGTAGGGAGGGAGACAACTGTGGGAGTGTGAAAAGGATTAGATAGCGGTATCACGGATAACTCTAGAATGTTTTCTATAGCTGCAGATTGATTCTTCCTCTACTTCTATACTCTTGTGGGTGCTTTTATGTTGATTTGTTTTGTTTTTTGAGATAGGATACTAAGTTTCGCTTATAAATGTGGTTTATGAAGTTATGAAATATAATTTTTCTGTATGTGCCACTGACTTACTTAGCTAAGAATTTAGTTTACTATGTTCACCTCTAAATGCAATTTTAGCAATATAAGGTGAACTATTGGCAGAGTTTAAAAATGGGCTGACCTTACTAATTTCACTGTACTGTATTCATGAAGCTAGTATCAAATAAATTGTAAAGGCTTGGAAAAGGGAGCTGTATATGCAGGTTAACTACATTCTAGGACAAATAACCTAGGGGAATGAGGCTGAGAACCTAAGCACCATTGAGTACATTTTTGAAAGTTAAAAGCTTCCTCAGTAGAAAATTTGAAATTTAGGTGTTTTTCTTGTCAGACTTTAAAAAAAGAATTTTGGCTCCTTGAACCACTGTCCTTCAACCATAGCCATAAGGATGAATTAAACATTTCTTCTTTTTTTTTTACCCTGTTTGGTAGAATGGGATATATTAGTACCTATGTTGGGGACATTTACATGAGTGTTCATATTTTGAGGGCAATATTTGATTACAAATGTTCATAGCAGTGACTGAATTTTTTAAAAAATCATTTATTTATTTGTTTGTTTGTTTGTTTGTTATAGGATCTCCCTATGCAGCTTAGACTCATAGTGATTCTCTAGTCTCAGCCTCCCTAGTGCCACCACGCTCAGTTTCAATAGTTAGCAGGCCCCGGGTGGGGCCAGCAAGGCAAGGGTGCTGGGGATCAAACCCAGGTCTTGCACTTGCCAGGCAGTTGCTTATAGACAGCTGAGCTCTATCCCCAGCCCTGAATTTTTGAATAAGTGTAGTGTTATAGGAAGTAATTGACTGCTTTTATTTTCAACTGTTTCAAAATTATATTTAATAACTTGAAACCACTTTGTTTTTTAGTATTCTGGCCATGAAAAAGAGGACATGATAAGTTGTTCAACCTATGAAATTCAAGTTACGTGTGAAAGCTGCCAGGTATATGGATAATATTTGGTATATTTAATCATTTTTCATATGTTAGGTTATAAAGATTTTTGTAAGCTGTTTCTATTAGATAAATATTATACCTTTGTATAAGTAAGAAACCACTTACTAGTAGGTAGTTTAACTGAGTGTTCTTGTATTTTTAAGTTATCAAATTAAGAATATTGAAACATTTATCACCAACATAAACATGTTTTAAAATTTTTATTTCTTCTGAAGTGTTCCAAATAACTAGTCCTGTAAGATGTCCTATGAAGAAGTGTTCTATTAGCAGTGGCCAAAAAACCCTAATCTAGGCACTTCTCTAGACATTTTACTTGACCGTATTAAAGATTCTGAGAAGTCTTACCCCCCAAAAGGTATACTTGAGTATCTCCCAAATTTATTTGGTCATGCACTTTTCTTCCGTGGTTAGATGTTACAGAATTGTTCATTGCATTAAGTACCAGATGCTATATATAATTTCTAGAAACAAAAGCAAGAACCACAAGTTGTTGGAGGGAATAGTTGAGAACTTTAAGAGCAAATTAAAAAGTAAGGATAATAATATTGACTTGAAAATGTCCTTTTGTAGTTGTTTCATTTGAATCAAGATCCCAAATTGTCAACTATACTTTGGTTAATGTATTTATTACATTTCTTTTAATCTGAAAAGGTTCCTTCCTTCCTCTTTTTTCCTCTATTATTTGTTGAAAAGACATATTTAGCTTATAGTTTTTTCCCATGTATTGGATTTTATTGACTGCTTCTAGTACAAAAGAATTTAAGACTGGAAATAGAAATTTTGCTGCATTCTCTCCAGAACTGTGCAGTATGATAGTCTTAAAAGACTGCATCTTATGTGTGGATTTAATTTGTTTGAATGAGTGAAATTTGTTCATTTCTTCATAATTTATTTATACTGCTAAACAGAAAGGGCCTGATGGTAGTCTTCTTAACCTATTTTCTTTAGTGTAAAATCTGCATGTTACATGTTTTTGTTTACTCTGATACTAAAGTGGTAAGAGTTAAAATGTAATCAAGTGCTTTATTGTACAGATAACAAAGTAAGGGTAATGGAAATCAAGTGTTAAAGTGTATATTTTAAATTATATATATATAATTTAAAAGCTCCGAAAGCAATTTTAACAATTAAAAAAGTTTTAAAACTATATGTCTTAAAGTATTTTGCCATTTCTTCATGGTTCGTCATAGGCAATACAAGGACCTGTGGAATATGAGTGATGACAAACCCTTTCTATGCACTGCCCCTGGATGTGGCCAGGTAATGTACCAGTTACTTTAAAATCATTTTGTATATTCCCATTTATTAAAAGACATTGATGACAGAATATGTTGTCATTCAATTGATTTTCTTAACAGTATTTTATGTAACATTTTAGCATTAGAATGAAAATATCTCAGAAACCTGGAAAGCAATTCTTTTTCTTCAATAGCTTATCTAACTTTTAGAAAATACAGTTTAATGAGAGCAGGGTGGTATTTTGTAATGGCAATCCAAGATTTAAAATTACATTAATTTGGGGCTGGTGAGATGGCTCAGTGGTCTAAAGCACCTACTTAGAACAAACTTAGCAAAGGGACCGCGGTTCAATCCCCCAGCACCATCCCCCAGCACCACATGCCAGCCAGGGCCGCCCCCTGGTGGGCTGAGCTGGCCACACGCGCGCGCGCGCACACACACACCCATAAAAATAAATAAAATTAAATAAATAAATAAATAAAATTATATTAATTTGACCATATTGGTTGAAAATCTTTAGTAAAATGTCTAATTAAAAATCGCAGGGGCCAAGGCGATTCCTCAGTAGGATAAGCGCTTCCCTGACAAGCGCAAGGGGCTGAGTTCAATCCCAGGTTCAGCAAAAAAAACCAGGCATACACTGTCATATACAGGAATTATTTTACTTGTTGAACTCTTATGCAACTGATACTTACCTGTTACAGTATCACTAATATATTGTTACTGAGATTTAACATTGAGTATGTTTGGAAGCAGCCTTAGAATCTAGAATTTCACTTTTTTAGTAGGCAATTAATCTGTTATTATCATAATCTTAAAATATCTAAATATTAAAGAAAATTAATATGTAGTAAAATTACAAGTACTAAAATATAAGTGTCAGTCATAGTCATTGAAGTATTTCAGTGGTTCTCATTTATTTTCTTTAAATTGAAATATAATCTATATTAACAGTATATAATTTGAGGGGCCGGGGAGATGTCTCAGTGGAATAAGTGCTTCCCTGGCAAGTGCAAGGGCCTGAGTTCAATCCCCAGTTCTGCAAAAAAAAAACCAACAAAACAAAACAGTATATAATTTGATGTTTACATATATATATATGCACACTCAAAATATGACAGTTAAGATAATTGTGAATATATTCATTACTTTTGGAAGTTTCCTCTTGCTCATTTGTTGCCCTAATCAACTTGCTATCACTATAGATTTGTTTGGATTTTCCAAAATTTTATATAAATGGAATTGTACAGTATGTAAATTGGTCTATCTTCATACCCTATAAATTTATGGTTTCTCATGTTTTACTCATGTTTTCTGTTGCTGTAAATACCATAGACAGGTATTGGATAGTTACTTTGTAAAGAAAAGAGATAGATTTGGCTCATGGTTCAGGAGGCTGGGAGGTCCATGGTTAGGAGGCCAGATCTAATGAGGACCTTTCTGCAGAGTGGCTAGGCATTGTTGTGGATCATATAGCAAGACAGAGTAAGTTCACTATCCTGGGTTTATCTTCCTATTCTTGTAAACTGATACAAATTGTATCATAGGGAATCCATCTTCATGACTTTGTCTAGTCAGAAACCTCCCCAAAGTCCAGCTTCCAAATACCATTAATATATGACTGAGTTTTAAGTTTTCAATACACAAATTTCTAGGGACACACCCAAACCACTGCATACATGTTACATGATCAATAGTTAATTTCATTTTATGATTACACAGTTTATACATTCACCTGTTGATAGACGTTTTGTTTATTTCAGTGTTGGCTTGTTTGTTTAGGGGATTTTTTGTTTTTGTTTTTGTTTTTTCTGGTGCCAGAAATCAAACTGGCACTTGCCAGCCAGGCACTTGTGCCACTGAGCTATATTCCTGGCCCTATTTCTAGTTTTTAGTTATGACATACAGCTTGTATAAATATTTGTATGTAAGATTTTGTTTTTAGTTATCACAAAAATAGCAGGTATGAATGTTGGTATACAAGTATTAATTTCTCTTAGATTATTACCCAAAAGTGTGATAGAATCTTGTAATAGAAACATGCATAACCTTTTAGGAAATTACCAAACTTTTCCAAAGTGAATGTGCCACTTTACATTCCTATTAGCAATTCGTAAGTTTATGTATCCTCAGGGCCTGAGTTAATCTCCAGTTCTGCAAAAAGTAAAATAAAATAAAAGTTTATGTATCTTTGTCAGCATCTGGTACTGTCAGCCAACTTTAGGTCTTATTCAGGTTGTGTGTGTAGACTGTGGTTAAAATTGTATTTCTTGGAGGACTAATAAAAAGGTTAATACTTTTTCAAAATGCATTTATTAACTATTTATATACTTTATTATTTTATTATCTTTTCAAAGCTTTTGCCTGTTTTTAAAAATTGGATTGCTTTTGAGTTGTAGAGTTTTCTGTACATCCTGGGTGCCAGTCCTTTATCAACTATTTTTGAAATCTATGGCTTGCATCTTAATTTTCATACTGTCTTTTGATGAATAGTTGTTTCTAATTTCAATAAAGTCTGCTACGTTAATGTTTTTTTATGGTTTTTTTGTTTCCTGTGACTTGTCTTAAGAAATTCTGGTCACAAGGATATTCTTTTATGTTTTCCTCCAAAAGCTTGTTTTTTTATTTAGGGTTTCTATCACATCTTGAATTAACTTTTGTATGATACAAATTAAGTAGGGGTTTAAGCTAACTTTTTTTTTTAATAGATACAGTTTTTCAGGCAATCTAGCATCACTTATCAGAAAGGTTTTTCTTTTATCATTACATTGCTTTGGTTCCTTTATGAAAAATTGAGTAACTATTTATGATGTCTTTCTAGGCTTTGCTATTCAGTTTCATTCCACAGTATCAGCTTTTATACCAGTACCACACTATCTTGATTACTTTAGCTTATAATAGCATTGTAGTCTAGTGGGGTAAATTTAGTTCTCATTTTTAAAGATTTTTTTGGTTTTAAAGATTTTTTTAAATTTTTATTAGTTCTGGTAGATATATAATGATGGCTCATGATTTTAGTGTACACTGTTTCGGGCCGGGGATACAGCTCAGCAGCATAAGCACCTGCCTGGGAAGCACAAGGTCCCGAGTTTGATCCCTGATACCGTTAAAAAACAAAACAAAACAAAACAAAACAACAACAGCAACAACAAAACACACCTTTATAGTAATAGTCCTACTAACCTGTTTTGAAACTGTTTCTTTGCTGTTTTTTTCCCTTAAAAACAGTAGAGTAAAAAGGGAGTTATCAGGATTAATGCTATTTTAAATAGATTGGTTAAGAAATGCATTTCTGATAAGGTATCAGTTGTACCAAAGATGTGAAAAAAGAATGTGTGTATTTTTGTTGTAATTAGAAGATATAATGATCAATGAGGAGAACAGTCAGAAGTGGGAAGAAAAAGATAATGTTCAGGAGGGATTTAGAGACTGCAATAAGATGTTTAGGTTTTGTTCACAGAGAATCAAGAAGCCATTTGTTCAGTAAAGTGGAAACAGGAAAACTAGAGGCTGGCAACAGTCTAGATGAAAGATGGGATATAAGGATTTGGTGCAAGGTAGTGACAGTGAACCATAGACATAGACTATACAACATCTATTTTTTTTTCAGCATCTATTTTGGAGATATATGTGATAACATTTTTTTATGAGGTAAGAGACCTTAAAAAGTACAATTCTCAGGATCTTCTGTTGCTAGAATTTTGAGTATGACTTTAGGTTCCACCAAACAGATTTAGTCTTTCTGCTAAGTCAGATTTGCTTTCACTTCTTTGATTTAGTACTAAGTGGAGAGAGGTGATACTATTCAAGTCATCCATTTTGCTGGTTTGGATCGAACAAACATCATTTGTAATCCCATGATTATGTCTGTTAGTCACTGTAACAAAATATCTAAGATACCAGTTTAAAAGAAGAAAGGTGTATTTGGGTTCACAGTTTTAGAGTTTCCAATCCTTGATGGTTTGCGCCTATGAAAGAGCACCATTTGGTAAGAGTGGGAGGAAAAATGAAACCATTCACGTCTTGAGCCAGCAGTCAAAGATCTAGTCTCACAGTCCCATTCACCGAACACTCCCAATGAGGTAAGGACCTCCAGCAAGGCCCCACTCCTCACAGGTTCCACCAGTCCCAATGGTGCCACTCTAGGAACCAAGCTCTAACACTTGGATCTTTGAAGGACAGTCAAAATCCAGACTGTAGTAATAGCTAATACATTTTGTTTCTAGAACCAGTTTTTAGACAGTGACCAGTTTTGCCACAAGTTCCAGGAATTATTCTTGAAGAGTCACACAGCCCTTGCCTAATTCCTTGTCCTATTTCTCTTTTGCTTAAAGTGAGTAGAATGGTGCCTAGTATTTTGTGATTGACATGCCATTTTTAACAAGAAGCATTATGTTTAAATTTATGAAAAGAGAAGGAAAATCAGTTTCAAGACATTAAAATATATGTACCATAGGGATTGTTTCTTTTTTTTCTTTTTTCTTTTTTCTTTTTTTTTTTTTTTAGGGATTGTTTCTTTAGAGACCTAATAGTAAATAAGTAATATATTAAAAACATTAACAAATTAAAATTATTTTTATACTCCCCAATGTCAAAGAAATTAACATTCATTCTTTTCACACCTTCCCTTTTACATCTTTGCTATCTGGTAATTATTCTGTTATTACATTGTCAAGGTTTATCATACTTACATTTTGTGTTACAATCTAAAATTCTTATCTTTACCGGGTTTTATTTCTGTGTTAAAATCATACAGAAGAGTGAAAATAACTTTTGGCCACTACAGTGTTAACAGTCAGAAAAAGGGGAAAGTGTAGCATGGGAAGTTAAGACAGTGGCCAGGGAAGAAAATCATATTCTGGAGGACAAGTGGGAAAGATATTTCAAAGTTAAGAGGAAATGTAATTTTGTAATAAAATGAGCATTCAGTATTTACTGTTGGACTTAGGGATAATAAAGATTTTTGGAGTTTTTTTTATTTATTGAGAAACAAATAGCAATGAGACAGTTTCAAAACAGGT